CATCATCCCTTGCCACTGGATCTATTGATTGGGGTTGGAGGCCACTAGTTTGTCTATTTCTGGTCCACACTATCACATCTGCCACACTTTTTCCTCTTTAATGGCAATCATTCAATAGATTAGAAACAGGGGTAGAACAATAATTAAGCTATTTAAATGTTTATAATTGACTGAAACTGCCACTATGTAGACAATTAATTCCCCTTTTTTTTCTTTCCTTATCTTAACAGAGAGTTTGCAAAGACAATCAAACGCCCATTTGGAGTGAGTTACAATCCATATACCCAAAGCGTTCAGCTCCTGAAAGATCCACAAAGTATTGCACATGTGGTGAATGAGCTACGGCATGAACTGGACATTGTCAGTGAAGCCCTTGGCAAGATGGACAAGTAGCTGGGAGTCTAACCTGTCTAATAACCTTTCTACATTCGGTAGCTGTGGATCCCCCACATACATACAGATTTTAGCAAGATAATACTGCTTTTATGCTTCATGCAGAATGTTTCTTCCCAAAATGATCAATGAAAGGAAAATATTTTTGTTTTAATATAGTTTCTTGGAAGAGTCACATCAATGTTTACATACCACTTTTCTCTCCCCTTTTCAGGCCGTTTCTCATTTATTTGAAAAGAAAGTAGAAATAATTTATCTAGAAAAATTGATAGAATATATTATGAAATGCTATATTTAAAGGCTAATGGCTGATATAGTCCACTGTTCTGTGCAACCAATGATGGCTAGTATTAGCTGTTGTGGAAGGACAAATAAAACCTTAAAACTATCTCAAGAAGCGTGTGTTCTGGTTTATCTCCAATCATGTTTTTTTTTAGTTGCCAAACCACAGTTATAACCATATACACACTTACCTAGCAGAAATATCAGTTGAATACAATGGATATTATTGCATTCAATAATGTAATATTTCTTATTCCTAAGTATAAATACCTACGATATATGTTTCTGAGTAAGCACAGCATCTTCCATTTTTGCCTATTACATTTCTATATGAATAATATGAAATAGAATACAGCACTTATAATTTGGGAAATTGTGATTGAATTTGAACATCATGCTAAGCCATAGTTTACTTAAACATGACTTGCTGAACCATCCACAATGGGCTGAATTTACATATCATGCTCTTCATCATGGTGCCAATGGGTAACAGGCACCTAGGTACAAAATGGGTACCTAAGAACCTATTTTGTATGCCAGAATCTTGATTTTATTTTTTATCTTACGATTGAGCAAGCCTGTCCATGTTGTGGACAGGTGCTGCTTCCTAATTGCAGCTCTAGTGCCCACAGCATGTTCTCAAATGTTAAAATGTGCCCACAAGTAAAAAAGTTGACTTATTCCATTATATCTTTGTTTGATTATCAAATTTAGTTGCAGATAAAGGATGAAGATAGAAAGCCGATATTACCTGTGTATACACTCTGATACTATTTGGTTACGCTAGTATTACATGCCAGAGCAAAGAGCCTAGTTGTTCAGTGCAATTTGCACTGAATTTAATCAGGCCATTTTGTCTTGACAGAAACCAGAAACCAGTATTTTAATGTTTGTTGTAATTATATTCCAGTAATTATATTCCTGTTTCATAAGCCTTGTATCCCACCTTTTATTATCTTTACAAATAACTCAAGACAACAAGCATATTCAGCATACCTTCCTCCTCCTATTTTTCCCACAGCAACAACCTTGTGAGGTGGGTTGGGGTACGAGAGAGTGACTGGCCCCAAATCACCTAGTGTCACCCACCCACCTACCTACCTACCAAATCACTATTACTAATTCAAAAGACATGACAAATTCTGATCAACAGAAAGCTTGTGCAGACAAAATAACACCTTTGACATATTGTTTAAAGTGACTATATCCTATATTGGGTCATTCACATATTTTGAAATATATTTTTATTATTTTTACATTTAAAACAATGCAGGACCGCAGAGTCGAAGTGACCATACATTCACGTTATACACAATTAGTCTCAACCATTAACTATTAGCCTACTTAGTACATTGTCTATCCTTCTGTCCAATCACAATATATAGTTTGTTCTAATCTTG